GACATGTCTTTCTTTTAATGGGATCATACAGTATTTGTTGTTCTATATTTTGCTTCTTTATTCAACAAGTAAAATTTGGATCCTGAAAAAGCAAGCCATTAACTTTTCATGTAATTTGGGAGCCTAGTATGCCCTTCCTATAAATTCTGTACTTTTGCCTGCTTTTGTTCTTTACATGAATGAAATCATACAGTGATATGGAAATGAAAGGGGCTGAGGATAACCCAAACATTGGGACAACTGACAGCAGACATGGCAGCAGTGAACATGGATGAACTACAGTTACATACAACATGGAGGCATCTTAGAAACAAAATTGTGAGCAAAGGAAGGCAGGTATACAAAACATATTTCCTGATGCAAGGAGGTGTTTATTATGAAATCAGGACTTTGGAGGAAAGAAAGGTTTGTGATTGTGAAGGGACATAATGCCCCTTCTGGGGAAAGCTGGACAATTTCTATTTCCAGATATATGTGATTGTTACACAGATATCCTTAAAATATTTAATTTAGTTGTGCATCTGTTGTTTATGCACTTTTTTGGCACATGAGTTACATTTTACCAAAACAATCCCTCCTTTTAAAAAAAACTTAGTGGACATGGGAATTCCCTGGCGATCCAGCGTTAGAACTCAGTGCTGTCACTGCTGAGGGCCCAGGTTCCCTCCCTGGTCAGGGGACTAAGACCCCACAACTGTGCAGTGTGGCCAAAATAAATGAATGATAAAATAAAATAAATTAAAAAGTTAATGGGCAGGTTGATTGTCCAGCATTATTAACAAGAGTTCCAGGAGTTTTAAATGACTTGGGGTTCTCTGGATTTGATCAGAGACATAAACTCACACAATCTCCATGGCTGATTCATGTCAGTGTATGGCAAAAACCACTACAATATTGTAAAGTAATTAGCCTCCAACTAATAAAAATAAAGGGGAACAAAAAACAACTCACACAATCTTCATCCTGTCATGAGAAGGATAAACTAAAGCCACACTTAGGGACCATGGCAATGAACACTCACAGAATCCCAAAGTCACAAAGATACTTTGGAGGCTCCACACAAAAAAGGTCACCTGACAGCAATAATGGAAAAACATCTTCAAGAAGTGAGTGCAGAGACTTCCCTGCTGGTTCTGTGGTTAGGACTCTGTGCTTCCACTGAGTGGGGTGAGGGTTCGATCCCTGGTGGGGGAACTAAGATCCTGCAAGCTGTGAACCACAGCAAAAAAAAACAGCAAAAAAAAAAAAAGTTAACTTTCAGACAAATAAATAGGAAGAGAGTTTTCATTAATCTCCGAGATAACTATAAAAGAACATTTTTTGGGCAAGATCCATAGAGAAAGCATAGAATCTAAGAAGCAATGATAAGCAGAGAAATCAATTCAATAGACATCAGGAAGAGTTTAAAAAAAACCAAAGGCACATAGAGTGGTATAAATACATTTAAATATAAATGCACATGGATAAGACTTACCAGTTTAAAGGCAGAAACTCACAAATTCGATAAAAAGTAATTCTAGCTCTATGCTGTTCACAAAGCAGCACTCCTGAAAATATGACACAAAAGTAAAATAAATGGAGAAGGATAAGCCAGTTAAATATTATTCAAAAGAAATGTGCTCTAGCCATATTAACACCAGACAAAGGGGACTTGTGGCAAAAAAAAAAAAAAGGATTACTGTGATAAATACCCTTATATAATACGCTAAACCCATAATCACAGTGGAAGGTTTAACACATTTCTTTCAATCGTTGACTGCTTAGCAGACAAATAATTGATATGGATATAAAAATTTTGAACAAGAAAATGAAAGTGTAGAATTCTGCCTCATCAAATTAGACAATACTCATTATTTTCATCTATGAAACACTTTAAAAAGTGAGTACATAAAATTAAAACTTTTGTGCATCAAAAAACAGTCAAGAGAGTGAAGACAACCCATAGGAGATTATAACTGAAAGAATAAAGTAAATATTCGTGAATTCAGTGATATAATTAAATGACTGAATAAACAAACACATGAGGGGAAAGGACAGATCTTCCTTCCCTAAAAAGACTTACAAATAATACATATAAACAATGCACGTAGGTACCACCTCTTCCAGGAGGTGGAATTTATTTCCCCTCCTACTCATTACAGACTGGACTTACTGACTTGCTTCCAAAGGGCATAGGAAGGAAAAATAGTAACTTCACAAAGACACCACTTTAACCAAGTGATCAAGGTTAACATCATCAGCAATATTCAACTTCCTGATGTAAACGGATGAGAAGGGCACCCCCACCTTGTGATACTTCCCCCAAATTCATAAGCCCAGTCTAAACAAATACAAACTGAGAGACATTCTATAAAATACCTGACCAGTTAGTCCTATTTAAATCTATCAAGATCATGAAAAACAAGGAAAGACTGAGAAATTGCCACTGCATTCTCTATTCGGGAGAAGGCATCTTTCCACCCAGTTGACTAAACCAGACACTTGACAGGTTAGTGGTGAGGGAGGAAGGGTCACCCGAGACTCCTCTGATTTCACCTCCATTTACTTCAGGTCCCCATGTACCTTTGGTTTGGCTTTCCAACAGTCACTGTTTGCCGCATGGGCCATCACTGCCTTTGTCCAGCTGTCATGAGGCTATACCTTCTGAGCCTTCTCCAAGAGGGGAGGAGCTCAAAATACTACAGGCAGTGAGAATGGTTAGGAGGTAAGGCATTATGACGACTAGACAGAGGTTAAGTAGTGTGCGAGCCGGGAGTGCTGAAGTGAGGATTTGAACTCGGGTAATCTGGCTCCAGAATCTGTTTAAATCACCATTACTCTCACCCAAGTACTAACCAGGTCTTATCCTGCTTAGCTTCCAAGATCAGATGAGATCTGATGTGTTCAGGTGACATGGCTGTAGCAAGATGGCAGGATACAAGATTAACATACAGAAATCAGTTGCATTTCTTTACACTAATAATGAAATAGCAGAAAGGGAATATAAAAAGAATACCTTTTAAAATCGTGCCAAATAAAATACTTAGGAATAAATCTGACCAAGGAAGCGAAAGAGTTATATGCTGAGGACTTGCTTTTGACTTGGAAGAAGACTCTTAAGAGTCCGGTGGTCTGCAAGGAGATCAAACCAGTCAATCCTAAGGAAATCAACCCTGAATGTTCATTGGAAGGACTGATGCCAAAGCTCCAATACTTTGACCACCTGATGCGAAGAGCCAACTCAGTAGAAAAGACCCTAAAGCTGGGAAAGATTGAAGGCAAAAGGAAAAGGGGGCTGCAGAGGATGAGATGGTTAGATAGGATCACTGACTCACAGGACATGAATTTCGGCAAATTCTGTGAGATAGTGAAGGACAGGGGAGCCTTGCATGCTGCGGTCTGTGGTCACAAAGAGTGGGACACGACTTAGTGACTGAACAACAGCAGCAAATAAAATGTTAATAAAAGACATTAAAAAAGATTCAAATAAATGGAAAGATATCCCATGCTCTTGGATTAGAATAATATTGTGGAAATGGCCATACTACCCAAAACAATCTACAGTAATGTGATCTGTATCAAATTACCCATGACATTTTTCACAGAACTAGAACAAATAATCCTAAAATTTATATGGAAACATAAAAGACTCAGAATTGTCTAGGCAATCCTGAGGGAAAAGAACAAAGCAGGAGGTATAACCCGCCCAGAATTCAGACAATATTACAAAACTAATCAAAACTGTGGTATTGGTACAAAAACAGACACACAGATCAACAGGACAAAATAGAGAACCCAGAAATAAACCCATATACCTACGAACAATTAACCTTCAACAAAGGAGGCAAGATATAAAGTGGGGAAAAGGTCAACAAGTGGTGCTGGGAAAATTGGACAGTTGAATGTAAATCGATGAAGTTAGAATACATTCTCACACAATGCACAAAAATAAACTCAAAATGGCTTGGTAACTTAAATATAAGAAAAGACACTACAAAACATCTAGAAGAGATCGTTGGCAAAACATTCTGACATAAATCATACTAATGTCAGTCTCCCAAGGTAATAGAAATAAGCAAATGGGACCAAATCGAACTTAAAAGCTTTCTCATAGCAAAGGAAACTATAAAAACAAACAAAATGAAAAGACAACCTACAGAATGGGAGAAAATATTTGCAAATGATGGGGCTGATAAGGGCTCAATTTCCAAAACAATGTTGAGCCCATACAACTCAACAACATAAACAAATCCAATTGAAAAATGGGTAGAAGACCTAGACATTTCTCCAAAGAGGACATACAAATGGCCAATAGGCACATAAAGATGCTCAATATCACTAATTATTAGAGAAATGCAAATCAAAACTACTATGGGGTACCACCTCACATCAGTCAGAATGGCCACCATTAAAAAGTCTGCAAATAACAAATGCTGGGGAGGGTGTAGAGAAAAGGGAACTCTCTTATACTGTCAGTGGTCATGTTAAGTTGGTGCGGCCACTATTGAAAACAGTATGGAGGTTCCTCAGAAAACAAGAATTACCATATGATCCAGCAATCCCACTCCTGGGCATATATCTGAACAAAATTGTAATTCAAAAATACACATGCATCCCAATGTTCATAGCAGCCAAGACATCTATCAACATTTAGGATAAATGGATAAAGATGTGGTACATACATACAATGGACTGCTGCTGCTGCTGCTGCTGCTAAGTCGTTTCAGTCGTGTCCGACTCTGTGCGACCCCATAAACGGCAGCCCACCAGGCTCCCCGTCCCCGGGATTCTCCAGGCAAGAACACTGGAGTGGGTTGCCATTTCCTTCTCCAATGCATGAAAGTGAAAAGTGAAAGTGAAGTCACTCAGTCGTGTCCGACTCTTAGCGACCCCATGGACTGCAGCCCACCAGGCTCCTCCATCCATGGGATTTTCTAGGCAAGAGCACTGGAGTGGGGTAGTATACATGTGTGTAACTGAGTCACTTTGCTGTACATTAGAAATTAACACACTGTAAATCAACTATACTTCAATTTTTAAAAAAGTAAAAATCTCCATTACTCAGTGTAAATAAAAAAGGAGTTTCTTCTTTATTTTTCTGTCATCAGATCTGACATCTTTTATGAGAATAACACTAGCTGCTGTTACAGATAGATCCTCAGGACTCAATGGCTTACTGTAACAAAAATTCCTCTTATCATAATGCTCTCCTTTTAGCAGCGATAGAGGAACCCAGCCTCCTTCCATTTTGTGACTGCCATCTTCCAGAGATCATTCAGCCAGCAGATGGGAAAGAGTTCATAGCTCTGAGTGGGTGAGATGTTTCTACAGCCGAGGTCTGGGAATGGCAAAGTTTACTTTTCACCAAGTGAACCCCTGGCTATGTGTCCTAGAGGAAAAAGAAACGGAGTTTGGTAAGCACCTCTGAGTTTTTGCCAAAATCTAATTGCTCATAATTCTGATTTACTTAAGGCTAATCAAGTACTTACTTTATACTTTGTTTGCTTATACTTTTTAAAAAACACTTATTCACAGCCAGCTAGTAAACAAACATTTAGAATGTTCTCAAAAAGGCAGAATACACAACTGGATAGTCAAGATTACATATGTATATATACATACACAGATATAGCTGAATTCGGAGATAAAAAACACTGCTTCACATTACCAGACTGGCTAAAAATCTCTCACATGCTCAAAAGTAACCCTCCCTCCACCATCACAAAAAACCCTACCCGAAGTGTGTCAGAATATTTGGAAGTATCCCTACATTGCTTCACATCTGATACTAGTATAATTAAATTATCTAAGTGCTTCTAGATCAATTTTAAATCTTAAAAAAAAAAGGCAAGATAAAGTTCTCTAGAGGAAAACAACAAAAATTCTCGAGCTAAAACAGGGTAAAAAGAGGTATATTCATTCTATAAGTAGGTACTTTTGAGATAAAAGTGACATGGGAATTAGTTCTAGAAAAATGGGCTTGTAGATCAGTTTTTCCTGATTCCTTTTAAAACGACTTATATAATACTAAGATGACATTTTAAAGCTACTATGTATCCACAACCATATGGCAGGCTCTGTGTTGAGTACCTTCTGTGTATTATCTTATTTCAACCCCACAAGTAACCTTTGACATAAGTACTAAAAGGGCCTGGGTCTTTAGAATAGATAAAGATCAGAATCAAAACAGAAACATATCTAAAGCAAAAACATATCTTTATATATAACTTGTTTCTAACTCCCACTGACCTCAAGTTCAGCTACCAAGGATAAAGAAAAGAGAAATAAACCTATGACAACATTTGGAAAATTGACCCGTTTTAATTTTTCAAAACAAAAATACAATACAACATCAATTTTTTTTTTTTTGCCATCTACAATTCAATTATTTCCAAATATTCTAAGACCAAACAGAATCCCCTGCCCAGAGCAGGGAATTAAAATGAGAGGCTGAAGTCACACAAAGGTGAATGCTGAAGACTGACATTCCAGCCGTAGGCCACAAGTCTTCCATTCAAACACACTCTTGATTCTTTTCCTTTCACAGTTTGTTAAAGTGTTTTACAGGAAGTTCTTTAAAATAATTTCATTTCAAATACCAGGTTTCTTCAACGATACACAGCTCCATGAAATCTGTGTCTCCATCTGATGACAGGAATGAAAAGGAATTTTTGTCTTTTTTGGTAGCATAAAGAAGTAAACCTATCAGCCAGATTCCTTTAGTAATAAATCAGGAAAGGAGAGATAAGATCTGGGTTGTGCCCGGTGCTGTTTCTACTTGTCTTTGAAGAGTGTGACTTTAGAAGCATTAAATCACACTCTTGCCACTACAATGATTAGTACTAGTAATCTTTTTTTTTAGATGATAAAAAGGAAAACATCCAATGGACATAAAAAAGTTCAAAAATTGTTTGCTTGTTTTTCTTACTGCAGGTCATTTCCCACCCACCCCCCGACCCACCAATGGCAACCCACTCCAGTACTCTTGCCTGGAAAATTCTATGGACTGAGGAGCCTGGTAGGCTACAGTCCATGGGGTTGCAAAGAATTGGACATGACTGAGCGACTTCCCAGGCCAGGCACCCGCCAAAAGAAGATACAAAATGAACATACGGTTGGGATGGTAACTCCGTTGGACATTCCAATTCACCCAGTTGCTTGTTCCCCACACAGATGAGGGGAAGAGGCATTAAGTTTTATTAGTAATGTTATAGCAGTAAACAGATGTGTTAATGGCAGCTTATTTCAGGTCCATCAATCCTTTGAACACATAGAGGAAATCATGGCTGTCGTTCTCCAACTGCCCACATCTGAATACATTCCACTACCATGGAAACTACAAAGGAAGGAAAAATATATTTATTCCGGGATTCATTTACTAGGATTTTTAAGCGCCCTCTCTTCCGTACAGCCCCAGAGCGGTGATGAGTGCTAGGGGCTGCTGTGTTTCCCGGCATGTGCTCCCATCCTCTGAGGGTCCTGAGAAGGATAGTGGATTGGTCCTGGAGCCCTCATGAACGGAGGGGGTGGTCCCATGGGGTGGAACATGTGTGGCCCAAAACCTACAGATGGGAGAGAACAAATCTGTTAGGTTTGCAATTCTCTTGACAACCTTTCAAACCATGAACCTAAGGTCCAAACCAGCTACACATAAATCAAACTGACATGGTGCTTCAGAAAATGCTGGTTCACAAGACTTGCTTAGGAATGTCTACCTGCGTGACTTCTTTGGTTTCAGAAATCTTTCCCCTCGGACAGCTAAAAACAACTCCATAGGTCTCAAGGTATTGTTAGTATGTCACCTGAGCCTTTGCTATCTCTCGAACATGCCAATCCTACCAGATAGGATTTGATCAGAATTTGGGAGGTGAGGGAGAAATCAGGCTGACGGCAAGACCCTGTCATCGTTAATCTCAATGCTTTATACTAGAATGAAGGTTGTTCAGAAACCAGGACTTACTCCAGCGAGTATGGGAACTCTGCCCAGGCGAACTGGTTACTTGTGATTTACTTACACAGTTCACGCTGGCACTGACAGTGCTGTACACAGTGCTGATCCCTGAACTGTTTATTACTTGTCACGAACAAGATAAAGAGCTGGAGCCAAACTGTAACTTCATTACACAATTAAGCACACTGTTTAGTTCATCTGACAATTTTTTTGTTAACACGACTTCCTTAGGAGCTTCCCTGGTGGTTTAGTGGCCAAGACTCCACACTTCCAACGCAGGGGGCCCAGGTTCCATCCCTGGTCAGGGAACTAGATCCCACATGCCACAACTGAAGATCCCTCACACTGCAACAAAAACCTAAGATTCTGCATGCGGCAACGAAGACCTGGTGCAGCCAAATGAATAAATAAAAATATTAAGAAAAAAAAAGACTTCCTTAATGAATTTACATTCTGGTGCAAACTCCTTATCTTGCTGCAAGCAGATGACACCCACAGCCTACACTTTAAGCAATGATGCTCCAGGGCATAAGTTAGGATTTAGAACAGAGAACAAACTGATGATGTTAAGTTGCTTTACAACTTAAGTTTAAACTTAAGTTTGTCCAATTCTTTGTTAAGCTATGTACTGTACCCTGCCAGCCTCTTCTGTCCATGGGATTTCCCAGGCAACAATACTGGAGTGGGTTGCCATTTCCTCCTCCAGAGGATCTTCCCAACCCAGGAATCCTCTTTATGTCTCTTGCATTGGCAGGTGGGTTCTTTACCACTAGTGCTACCTGGGAAGTCCCAAACTAATGACAGATTGTTGTAGTCACAGTAACTCCCATTTTGATGATACATATACTTAGATCTTTAGAAAACTGGTGACTTCCTTCTTAGCAAACCAGTAAAAAATGAAAATACCCGGAATGACATCAGTCAGGTTTACTTGCAGACTTCTATGGAGCAGACCTGAAGGCTTAGATATGTTAGACATGATGGTACAGGGTCTGAACAGACTTCAGGAGGATTTCCCTGAGTAAAGTCTAACCCATTTCCCTACTTCCTAAGAAAGAAGTTACCTGGGGGTGGGGGCGGGGCAATACCAGGTGGGGGTGGCAGGGCAATGTTCACCACGGCCGGAGGACCACTGGGGGGTAGGTTGAAGTAGTTGGCAGAGGCTTCTTCTTCCGCGGCAGGAGGAGGAGGAAGAGCTACAGAAGAGAAAACAGCTAGTTAAGAGCAGAAAACCACTGTGCCACAGTTCCCACTACCCTGAAACCCTGAGGGGTCCTGCTGGGAGAACACAGCTGCTGGGAGCCAGAGGCCGGTCTCCTTTAACATTCGAGGAAGGTCAGGCAGTATGAGTATCTGAAGTTAGCAAGCTACTGGGTAGGCAGAATCTGCACTCACCTCCTGGGAGCCCTGGAACGGGCTCGAGCTTGATTCCAGAGTCTGTGGTTCCGTCCTTCTCCTTTTCTTTCCCTCTGGCTGCCTGGGACCTGGGAGACAGACATTCATGCAGTCAGTACTTGGGTCCACCTTCTCTCACACCTGTTTCTCACGTTTCCTAGTCAAACAGAACTCCTTCACTCCTGCCTCCTCTTCAGCACTCACTTTTTCCTCATAAATGCCACAGTGCATAGTGGATAGGAGCAAAGGTTTTGAAGACAGAAAGACCTGGTTTCAAAATTTGCTAGAATCGCTTTAGGGGATGCAGGAGGCAACAACACTGGGTTGAGACCAGTGTTCAGGAAGCACTCTATGAGGTCTCCCTGGCTCCAAGCCAGAAACCTGTTCCACTTTTGAATGTTCGGGGCATTTTACCTGTCTCTCTCTTATGCAATAACCACTTTCAGGCTTAAATTAGCTGTTCTTCTTCACTAAACAATTGGCCTTTAAGGACAGAATCCAGGTCTACTTAATTCATGTATAAACTCGCATGCCTTAGTATTATCCTTGGCCTATAATATCTGGTCACAGAACACATGAACCTTCAAACCATCAGACTGCTACATGAAAACCCTGAATAAATTTCCAAAGTAGCATCTTCCTGATAGCCACAGGAACGAGTGTCAGACATAATGAAAAATTCTTTTTAAATGTCCTGCTGATTTAAGGCTGTTCACCAAAAGCTTACTAATCCCAAGATAATGAAAAGGTTTCCTGAAAATCTCAATAATGTTTTTTTTTTATTATTTTTGCTGTGCCACGCAGCATATGGGATCTTAGTTCCCTGACCAGGGACTGAACCCACACCACCTGCAGTGGTAGCACAGAGTCTTAACCACTGGCCGGCCATGGAAGTCCCAATGCTATTTTAATATAGTCTCATGCTCACCTTCCCCATTTCACGTTGAGCCTGCGGCCATTGACAATCAACTTATTAAAGGACTTCTCGGCAGCCACTTCTGCAGCCTGCCTTGTGGCAAACTGGATGAAAGCACACTGCTGTCTTTGCACAACAGTGATGGTCCGGATCTCTCCAAACTGGTAGAAGTGATTCCTGAAGGGATACAGGTAAAGCAGAATGAGAGCTGACAACACAGACATTCCCAGGAGGCTGAATATAGACTATTAACTCTTTCACTGATTCACCATGAGGCAAGTGGCCTCACAGTGATCTGCCTAATTACCTGTAGGTGGTTTCCCCTATGCCTACTGTGGTCGCCCCTACTGTGGGCACTGTATACTGGGGAAGGGAAAGAAAAAAAATGAGTAAAGGCTATCAAACATTTTAGGGCTTTTCCTATGGAGGAAAGGGGGCTCCAGGAGGTTCCCTAAGGATGTTAAATCCTAGGTAAGAGGTTAGCAAAGTATTGCGCCCAGGGCTGATAAGCCAAGAATGTTTAAATAAAAAATGGTTTAACGCTGCAATAAAGAAGAAGAGAAAGAGGAGGTGGAAGAAAGTCTGCCATCCCTGGGGAACTGTCTAGCTCACTTAGGTTTAATGTAGATAGGCTAACAAGGGTAGGTTCTACACCTCTAAGAGTTTCTTCTCCACACTCTTTGCAAGAAGTAATTTCCACCACTATCTGCTCAGATGTCTTACCCAGCCAAGCAAAATACAAGAATAACACAAAATTACCAAATATCAATCTCTTAAAAAAAAAAAAAAATCAAGTTAAACCATCTTTTTTTTTTTTTAATAATTGCAAATCTCTCTTTCTCCTATGTAATTAATCATTCCTGGTTGTGTGCTATCTTTAGAAATTCTAATGGTTATTAGGTCAAATAGAATCTCATGTAATTATTATCCTAAGCAAGCACAGAATAAGCACTGTTGAAGAGTATTTTCTGTCATCATAAAGAACTTTATAAAAATTCCAGTCAGCATGATACTACAGGGCAACTAAAAAAAATGTACTTGGTACAGAATTATCATATTTTCTCAAGTTTTTGCCAAAAACTATTATTCCAGGGCAGGCGAAAGTAAAGTTAATTCATAAATTATATTCACAAACCTTAGATCGGTCTCAGTAATGGTATCGCCCAGACCACCAACATACAGTGTGGTGATAGTCTTGTCCTCTGGTGGGTCCAGACGTGGCATTGTTGAAGCCCGCTTCAAGAGTTTATCTGCCACAGGGTCATTGATTCCATAATATCGGTCTTTAATGTTCTGATCAGCAAGGGGGTCATCCGGATCTGTTGGTTTTTCATGTCTATGGTTCAAGAAAGAACAATGCATAAAGATGAAACAAAAGAAAAGATTTTACACATACCAAACAATAGCAGCTATATAAAGACCCCTGAAATGTATTTTGAACTAGATACCATGGCCATACCAAAACATAATTATTAAAAGAGAGCTAATATTAAGGAACTTACTGTATCACACAAGGACGTGCTAGCCTCCTAAAAGTCATTTAAATGGCTACAGGGTGGAAGTTTCCTTATAAACAAATGCTTTTGGGCTTCTCTGGTGGTACAGTGGATGGGAGTCTGCCTGCCAATGCAGGGACACAGGTTCAATCCCCGATCGGGGAAGATTTCACATGCGGTGTAGCAACTAAGCTGGTGCACCACAACTATTGGAGCTCACATGCTGCAGGGCCCTTGAGCCACAAGTAACGAGGCTGTGTGCTTCAACTACTGAAGCCCAAATACCTAGATAGAGCCTATGCTCTGCAACAAGAGAAGCCACCACAATAAGAAGCCTGTGCACTGTAACGAAGAGTAGCCCTCACTCACTCCAAGCAGAGGAAAGTTCACACAGAGCAACAAAGACCCAGAGCAAGCAACAAATAAATAAATGCGAAAGAAATGCTTCTCGGCGCAATTCACTTCAAAACCAAAGGTAACCACAACATGGTTACCCCTCTCCAGGGCAACGGTTCTTAATGTATCTGAGGTCTTGTATTCCACGCAAGAGTATGATTAATCTATGGACCCAACCCCAGAAATAGGGAGAGCTAATTTTTTGTCAGGGGTGGGGTTTACCAACGCCAAGGTAAAAGCTCCTAATCCAGATGCCTAGAAGTCTTGACTCAAACATACTCACACTTTAGAAGTCTGGCTTTAATCTTATTTCAACTATACACTGAGATTCAAGCCAGTCATACCATGATAGCCAAGACTGACATCGTAGGTAGGAACCTGAGGTCAACACTGATATTTTACGGCAAGGCAACTTAGTTTCCCAAGTCTTGGTCATAGGTAAAGGTTCCATTATATGTAAGAACAACAATTCAATCTATCTCTCCTCCTAAGATATATCACACTAGCTATATAAACTTTAACATTTTGAAGCATAGTTTAAGCCAGCACGTCCCTCTTCATAGATAACTAGTCATCTGAAAGCAAACACTGAAAAAGCAGTTCAGCTCTTGCCTGTATGGACACTCCTCTCCTCTCTTACACTCTCCTTTCACCCAGAAGGAGCAAATGTGCGGTCGATTCCTTTTGTAGTAGGGTGTGGTCCGGGCCAGTTTGAGCAGCATGTCACTGGTGGATGTGGCTTTCCCCAACATGCCAACTGGCCGCGTTCCATCAGAGTTGGAAATCTATAGAGGAATGACACATTCCGAAGGTAAATTCCACAGACTATGTCAATCCCCTAGGATTCTTTCATCAAATATAAAACTATATCAAGCAAGTGGCAGCGCACCTCTCTCTCCATATTCTGCGTGTAGTACTCTTTGTTGACGTCGGACTTTGGCATGTCATCCTTAAAAGATAATCCTGCATCACGAACCTGGATGGGCAGGCCTAGAACAAAGGAAAGGAAGAAAAAACGCAAGATACATTTTAAATCATATCCAAACTGAGTATGTAGACAGAATAATATAACATCATTCTTCCTTTCTCCACTTTATTTGGTAATAGAAGCTTTATTTTTACTCAGAATCTGTAGCACTGTCAAGCTAATACTACTACAAAGCATTCTAAGACATTCAAATTCCTAAGTTTTCATGAAATGAATATTTAAATATTTTAGATGAACAAGCTCTTACTATAGTCAGATTTGACCTGCAATTGATAATGCATCTAGCTTTTACTGTATCATGATTTAAAACAAATGTAAAAAGTGGATTTTTTTAGGTTTGTCCTGCAGATCCTCTGAATAGTCATAGTCATGTAAGGATCACTGTACTGCAGAACTAGAACACTTCCTTAACAAACATACGAATAATATTAAACAGAATGTGACCAGGACTCTGATTTGCAGAGTTAACTTTCTGAATTTAACATAAATAAACTTAGATTTTCCCTTTTCATTTTATTGCATAGTAGAAACTTGCTGAAAGGATGTTTTTCTGAAAAACAAAAAAGTTGCCTGCAGTTAAAAAGTCACTCCCAAAAGCAGTTACTCTGAAACAGTAGCAACACAGTGTATCAGTCCTAACAACACAGTTGATACAAAATCCCAAAGCACCATGGCCTGAACTCTGGTAGGGATTGTGGAAGAAATGTTCCGGATCTAGACAGGAGTCCCAGGCAAAGAAATTACCTGTCATAGCAACAATGCCTCTAACTTACCTTGGCTACAAAGGTATACAGAAGGGAGGTTTAAGGCCTCCCTTCTGTATAATATAGTATTTAGTATAGTTGTGTTGACTAATTACCGACCTTTCTTAAAATCACTATTGTTCAGAACTCTAGAATAACCTAGTATGGTTCTTTTCTTCTTGGGAAAAGCAGAGCACAACAGACATTTCAAAGTGGGTCAGAGCCAGAGACAGGGTGAGAAGAGGGAGACAGGAAGCCTGCTGTGTTGTTGAGAGCAGCGGCACACTTTCAGAACTGTGGGACAAGTCAAACATACCGTACTCTAGGTCTAAGAGGCAGGTCTGACAGACATTCTTCAATTTACTGCAGGTCTGGCACACTTCAGTCTTCTTGAAACGCATGCGGACCCCAGGGCACCAGCGAAACACTGTGAATGGCCTGGCACAGATCTGGAACACAAGATAAAGCCACAGGGTGTTAACGGTCCTGATCTGGACAATTAATCCAGGAGATTTAGTAACAACAGGGGATTCAAAGAAAGGATCCCCAAATCTAGGGTTTAGAAGAGATATTAGCAATCATCTAAACAGGATCTGATGTTTCAATCCCTTATAACACTCTTCTTCAGTAGTTTAAATACTCAAATATCAAAGTCCTCCCCACTCTAGAGGTCACCAGCATTAACAATGTAATTCTTAAATCTTTTATGGGGTGAGTAGGGATTGTCCTACAATTCTTTAAGAATTTTATATCTATGACCTTCCCCCTCAGCTTAAAAATGTTCATGGGCATAATCACAGAACATCTGATACATGCAATCCCAGGGGGCTCAAAGACCAACCACAGACATCAAGTTAAGAATCCCTGCATTAAACAGCTCATTTTCTTACCTCTACCCTAAACAGTTAACAGCCAAAAAGTATATAAATGATACATGAATGCATGTGTCACACTCACTTTTATAAAGGACTTCAAACCTCAGGGAGTAGAAGAAAAAAGGAAAACAAAACTAAATCATTACTCTTTAACACACTTACTTTGCATTCCTTCCCATACTTTTCTTTGGTCTGAAAGAGAAAAAACAGAGGAGTTACAGACACGGCGGGAAAAAAAGCTGATGCCTGCTCCTTCTCTACATAGGATCCAAGAAAAGTATCTGGAAATCCCTGGCATCTTAAGGGGTGGGAGGGGGAAACGGGACCCTACCCTTTTTGGGGAGGAGGGCAAAGAAGGGGCTGGGATATAATCTAATCACATACAAACTATGACCTTTTAGGAATTTTATGGATCTAACACGGAGTAAGTATGTACCTTTCCACAACCACAATTCTTAGATTCACCTCTGGCTCCCAAGTTCTCTCCCAAGAACAATTTCCTAATGGTTTCCACAGTCCCTAAAGCACAGAGGATGCAGCCACAGCCAATCCATTTTCCAAAGTTTAGTCAGAGGTAACTACTACACACTCATCCTGTGATGGTCCTCTGTATATAATAAATCAATATCTCTGAGATTGATCACAACACAGCCCTAATTATTAAATATAAACTGCTGCTAATTTTACTCTTATTTATAAGGAGAGAAAGTACCTAAACACATTATAAGGTGTGGAGGCCAAAAGGCACTTGACTTCAGTCCTGGTTCTCCTTCTAATTTGCTGAGGTCCCTGGAGTCAGAATGTCTGAACTTAAATCCTAGTTCCACACCATACTTGCTGTATTCAACATAAACTCTCCTTGCCTCTGGTTAACAGACCTGATTTCTATGTAAATGTTCAATGGATATTAGCTATTATTATGACTCCTAGATCACAGACCGTCGCCGAGTTCCAAAGTGAGAGAACATGACAGTCCTTTGCAAATTTTTCCTACGCTTCGGGTTAGTAAAGAAGCATCATTACTTCTTCGTGGCTAAGAGAAATACATGACCGACAGTGTGCGAGTACCACAACATTGACAGAACATATACAGCAGGTCCCGTTTTATACTCAATCACTCACCATTCGGATATATGGGTTTTCTCCAAGACACGTCTGGCACAGAATAGGGAAGTCCTGGTGAAAACGGGAAAACTGGTTGAACGCCAAGCTCCAAAGGCCTTGCCATCTCAGCCACTGTCGTGCGGCGGCGGGGAGGGGGCGAGGAGCGAGGCTGGGGAACAGGGGGAACCCGTGGTCCAGCACAGGCCGGGTCGCTGGAGGAGGTGCTGCATGCACTTCCGGGAGGCGGCGGGAGTAAAGACCCGCTCGAAAAGAGTGGAGGCAGTAGGGACAGAAAGGGAGCTGGTCCCAAACCCTGGCTAAACCCCCTCCATCCAAGCCCTCAGGAGGGCCGCCCTCCAGACTTCAGCCGTAGCCGAGTTAGGCCGCGGTGCTGGCTTCTTGGAATTCCCTCGGCCGCACAGCAGCCACGTCCCTGCCCGCCCGCTGGAGGTCTGACTTCGCTGCCTCTTTCTGTCCTCCTCCGGCACGCTCACTCACCGCATCCTCCCAGTTCTGCCTGTTGTAGGTGTTGGAACCTAGAGAGGTCGCCATCTTGAGAGAGTCCGAAGGCAGCCGCAGCTTCCGAGTTGGGAGAGGACCGCCACAATCCCGTCAGGCCCCGCGGCTGCCTCTCCGCACGTCGACGTCTTATTTACGCGTCTTGCGCGCCCTTAAAGGCGGCACCTTGTGTAATGGAATCGCTTGCTTGGAATTTCTTAACAATTGGACTCCAGGTACTTCCTTCCAGGGGTGACAGCCAGGAATGAAGAGTCACAACTTCAACTGGTTTATTTAAAAATTGAGTGAAAGAATATAGGAACTATAATAAACGAGGGCCTGGAATTAAAACAGCGTCGACCCCAATGAGCGCTTATTATGCCAAAAAGTGGGGGGAACGTCTTGGGGTGACTATCTCTTTTAATTCCACAATAAGCCCGCTATAAGGTTGCCAGATTTAGCAAAAACCCAGAACGTCTAGTAAAATTTGAATTTCAGATAAACAACGAAAGTTACTTTAGTATAAATTTGTTCCAAACATGATTACACTAAATAATGACTCGTTTTTCTGAAAGTGAAATTTAGGAGGATGTCCTGTACTTTTCTGGTAACCACTGCCCTCTAGGCAAGTGGGAGTGTACCTCGTTTATAGAAGGAAACCGAGGTTTAGAGAGATTAACTTGCTTTTGGTCGTGTAGCTAAAATATGGTGAAGCCACAAATCCAAAGACAATAGTACTTTTTCCAACTTCTTAAATGAAAAGCTTTATGGATCAACACTGCTGCTGCTAAGTCGCTTCAGTCGTGTCCGATTCTGTGCGACCCCATAGACGGCAGCCCACCAGGTTCTGCCGACCCTGGGATTCTCCAGGCAAGAACACTGGAGTGGGTTGCCGTTTCCTTCTCCAATGCATGAAAGTGAAAAGTGAAAGTGAAGTCTCTCAGTCGTATGCAACTCTTCGCGACCCCATGGACTGCAGCCTACCCGGCTCCTCCGCCAAAGGGATTTTCCAGGCAAGAGTACTGGAGTGGGTTGCCATTGCCTTCTCCGATGGATCAACATATGTACTGTTAAATCATTTTTGGAACAACTATCCTTTTGGGTTTGACTTCTCTTGCAGATGGTGACTGCAGCCATGAAATTAAAAGACGCTTACTCCTTGGAAGGAAAGTTATGACCAATCTAGACAGCATATTAAAAAGCAGAGACATTACTTTGTCAACAATGGTCCATCTAGTCAAGGCTATGGTTTTTCCAGTAGTCATGTATGGATGTGAGAGTTGGACCATAAAGAAAGCTGAGCGCAGAAAATTGATGCTTTTGAACTGTGGTGTTGAAGACTCTTGAGAGTCCCTTGGAGTGCAAGAAGATCCAACCAATCCATCCTAAAGATCAGTCCTGGGTGTTCACTGGAAGGACTGATGTTGAAGCTGAAACTCCAATACTTTGGCCACCTGATGTGAAGAGCTGACTCATTTGAAAAGATCCTGATGCTGGGAAAGATCGAGGGCAGGAGGGAAGGATGAGATGGTTGGATGGCAACACCGACTCAATGGACATGAGTTTGAGTAAACTCCGGGAGTTGGTGATGGACAGGGAGGCCTGGCGTGCTGCAGTTCATGGGGTCGCAAAGAGTCGGACATGACTGAGCAACTGAACTGAACTTGGCATACTGTATTTGAAATTCATCCATATTGTTACATATACCAGTAATTTGTACCTTTTTATCACTGAGAATTTCACTGTATGGATGTATTTGGGGTTAAAACACACACGTTTGCTAATTAATGGACATTTGAGTTATCCAGATTTCAGTGAATACAAATAAAAGCATTATAAACATTCACATACAGGTTGTTGTATAGACATGGGTTTTCATTTTGCATGTGGATTGGGATTGCTTGATCATATGGTCTATCTTTTCCTGTATAGGAAATTGCTTGGTTTTTTTAAACTGAGCTTCAAACATTTGTGATTTGTTGTCCTTCATTATAGTTTGAAAATTCTTAACAGTTTTAAATATTCTTTAAATATTCTGCCCAGTTTCTTCTCTGTCTGGGACTCCAGTGACATATTAGACTATATGATATCATCCCATGGACCTTGAGGGCTTCCCTGGTAGCTCAGACAGTAAAGAATCTGCCTGTAATGCAGGAAACCCTAGTTCAATCCCTGGATTGGAGAGATCTCCTGGAGAAGGGAATGACAACCCCCTCCAGTATTCTTCCCAGATAATTCCATGAACAGAGGAGCGTGGTGGGCTACAGTCCATGGGCTCACAGAGTCAGGCACAACTGAGCAACTGCTATATATTATTATTCATAGACCTTGAGTACTGTTTTCTTTTTGGGAGTTTCAGTTTGGATAATTTCTGTTCACCTGTTTCCGAGTTTCCTGATTATTTCCTCAGGTATGATAAAGTGTTCTGATGAGCCCAGAGAAGATATTCCTCATCTCTGATCCTGTGGTTTTCATTTCAGCTTGTCCCTTTCTTATAGTTTCTGTTTGCTGAAATCTGCTCATGTATATTATCCCAATTTTCAACTAGATCTTCAACATGTTAATCAGAGTTAAATCCCTGACCAATAGTTGCAATATCTAGGTCATATGTGAATAGAGTCTTATTGTTTTGTCTATCACAAATGGGTTGATTTTTTTCTTGCTTCTTTGTGTATCTCAAAATTTTTATTGAATGCCAGTTGTTACTTATGTATCAGTAGAGACTTAAGTCAATAGTATTAATGTCTGGAAATAAGCAAGTCTCTTCTTCTGCCAGGCCATTTGTGTGGGGTTTGGTCAGCCTAGGCAGGAACTGGGCTAGGTTTGGGCTTTGTTGTTGCTATTCTTGCCTTTAGTGTACCACAGATTTCAGATCGCTGATGTTATTTTGTCTTTTGCTTGGGACTGTAGAATTTTTCTGAAGTGTTCATACTTCATCCTTAGCTTTCAGCTGTTGTGCATAACTGCACCATAACGACAGGTCTCTATGCCCTTTGCCCATGCCCCCAGCAACTGCTTGCTGGGTAGGTAGTCAGAGAGAAGTCAGGGTTCTTTGTTCTAATTCAGCCTCAGTCTTTAGTAAGTCCCTTGTGCCCAGTCCTTGGGAATGAGTCTCTTCTCAGCATTCTTGTCCCTCCTTTCTGTGGCAGCCAAACCCCGACTTGTATCTGTGGTTGGTCTTGAGAGGGAGTTTCCTGCCCCTCTTGCATTGGCAGGAGGCCTTTAATGGTAATGGTATAAAACCCTGGAGCTCAGGATTGAATCCTGTCCCTTCCAAGAGTAGAGGTTTTTTCTTACCTTGACCCAGCAGCAATGAGTCTTTACATGTGCCCTCTGTAGACAGGGTTTTCTGCTCCCCCCAGTGGCTTAGGCCTTTTTTGCTGTTATTGAGGGAAGGACCTAGGCAGGGAGAAGCACAGTTTCATGACTTTCCTATGCCTCCTTCCTTTGCATGCCTCCAAACCCAGGGAGGCGCTACAGAGGTTCAGCACCCCCACGCCTCCCAAGTCTTTCTCATGAACACAGGGTAAGTTTTTGGTGGTTTTTTTTTTAGGGTGGCGTTTTTGGGAAGAGCTGGTCTGTGCATGCACGGTCCCTCAATATCTCAGGTTCTCAGGGGTTTTATATTGTCATGTTAGCTTCAGTTTGGCCTTTAGCAATTCTTTAATATTTTAGTTGATTTTCTCTTATCTGCGTATATGGTGGTCAACACTCCTCCCATGCCCTGCTACAGGTGAACAAGTCTATGTCCTGTGTCTCCTTGGAGGGGTTTGTCTGTCCTTGAAATTCAGGCTAGTTGACTGCCCTGCCACATCGGCCATCTGACAGACCCAATAAAATGCATCATTTTGTCATCTATCCAGTTTTCTGTTTGAGTCAGGGTGATACTCTTTCCAGATAGCTACATCACAGGCATAAGTGGAACTTCTGAGTCTCCTTTTACCTAATATATTTTAAGAGGAACATTTTTAAAATCACTTCGGTAAATGTTAAATCATATCACGTGTGTATCGTATCACATAATGTAGCCTTAAGAACAAATACAATGAAAACGAAACACTACTTTTCAGTAAGCTACTGTTGTCTGCCAAAGGCTGAGCCAGAAGCCCATGTTTTTTAAAAAAAAAAAGTGTTACATAGGACTTCCCAGGGGGCACAGAATCTGCAAGTCAATGTAGAGAACGTGGGTTCCCCTTGTCCGGGAAGACTGCACACCCTGCGGAGCTGTGTGCCACAACTCCTGAAATCTGTGTGCTCCAGGGACCACAACAAAGAGTAGCCCCCAGTCTCCAAAACTAGAGAAAGCCCTGGAGCACCAAAGACTCAGCACAGCCATGAATAAATAAAATTTTATATATATATAAAGTGTTACATAAAAGAACTGATATTTACCTTTGATGTAACAGAAAGATGAGTGGGAAGGGGAGCAGGGCATGAAAATGAAACAACTTTTTGACTGTTTGATTCCATGTTATTTAATGTTACTTTTGCTTCACTGTCTTGTGTAGGCAGTTTATATTGTGAAATAAATTTCACTATAGATGTCCCTGACCACTAGAAAATGGGGATAAATAAAGGTTGACCCTTGAACAACACAGCTTTGAACTGCATGGGTCCACTCATACAAACTCCCTGCCCCCTGTCCAGTAAACACATACTACAGTACTACATAATCTGCAACTTGGTTAAATCCATGGATACAGAACCTTGGATACAGAGGCCAACTATAAACTTATACACAGGTTTTTACCCGTGTCAGTGTCCTTAACCCCTGCACTGTGCACTGTTCAAAGATCAACTATATTGCAATTGAGCAAGTGACTTAGCTCTTGAGTTTTTTAATTTATTCCAGACTACCCTTTGACTGGAATATACTGGGTTGGTCCAAAAGTTCATTTTGAGTTTTTCCTTAACAACTTATGGGAAAACCCTAACAAACTTTTTGATCAATCCAGTAGAAGAAACAAAAGGGCCTGGATTTGGCTCTATAGGGGTGTGCAATATAGCAAAGGAGCGATACACAGACAAAACCCAGTATTAGCAAGCGGTAAATGCCCTGGTGGCTTAGACGGTAAAGCGTCTGCCTGCAATGCAGGAGACCCGGGTTTGATCCCTGGGTCAGGAAGATCCCCTAGAGAAGGAAATGGCAACCCACTTCAGTACTCTTGCCTGGAAAATTCCATGGATGGAGGAGCCTGGTGGACTACAGTCCATGGGGTCGCAAAGAGTCGGACATGACTGAGAGACTTCACTTCACTTCAAATGCCCTGGAAAGGTTAGGTACTAAAGATTAAGACCACATCTAAATGGGATGAAGAGAGAGGTGAGAGCAGGAAATTAACTCTGGAGAAGGCACAGTGAGGAAAAAGTATCCTAGGCAGAGATGACACCAGCACGAGAGGTCAAAGCAAGTAAGATATTTGGCTTATGACAAAAAAAAGCATATATATACATATATATATGATACATATTATATATATATATATTTTTTAAGATAAAAGGTCAACAGCTATATAAACAAGAAAAAGGCAGATGGTATTAACAAATACTAGTTGCCTGCTACTTGCCAGGCATTGCTCTATGCTCTGCAGATATATCAGTCAAAAAAAACAACAACACACTACAGAGCTTACATAAGCTCCATAAGTACAATGAATCAATAAATATATACTGCTGGATGGTGATTAGTGCTACTGGGGGAAAAAAGCCACAAAGAAGGGGGATATGTGTCTATTAGTAGAGAGCAGTTTACATGATTATCTAGAGAGGTCATGGAAAGCCTGAGGAGGAAGCAATTAAACATAGACCTGACTGGCGGGGGTTTGGGTCGTACAGGAG